ATGAATAAACTATACTTCATGAAGAACATGCTCAAAAAAAATCAGCAAAAAAATCTACCGGGAAGGACCCCAAATGGCGACGGCCGGACGGCGGGTCTTGTCCCTCCGGCTGGGCATGATCATTACTCTCTCTCTCTCTCTCTCTCTCTCTCTCTCTATATATATATATATATATATATATATATATATATATATATATATATATATCCTTATTTGCAAAGACAAGAGATAGAGAGGCTTGTAAAGGAAACGCTCAATTCCAGAGTCATTCAATACCGCCACAACCGTTATTCAAGTCATGTACAACTAGTAAAAAAGAAAGATGTACTTCGAGATTGTGTGTTGACTACAGGAAACTCCATTTAGTAACCTAAAAAATAACTATCAGTTTCCTTTGATAGATGATTTATTGGATGAATTACATGAAGCAACAATCTATTCCAAGATAGATTTAAGGAAAGGATACTATCAAGTCAGGATGAAACAAAGAGACATTGAGAAAACTGCTTTTATAACAATTATTGGACTATATGAATTTACGGTTATGCCATTTGGGCTAACAAATGCTTCATCCACGTTTCAAGCTCTCATGAACAATGTGTTCAGAGAATGTTTGAAGCAATTCAAATTAGTCTTCTATATATGATGATATACTGGACTACACTCCAGATAATGAGGCTCATAGGAGGCATTTGAGGAAAGTCTTCCTATTACTACAACAACATACATTATTTCCTAAAAGATCTAAATGCACATTTGGAGTTTCAAAAGTGGAATACTTCGGACATATTATTAATTCCACCGAAGTTGTTGTAGATCCTGAAAAGATTAAGAGCAATTTCGAAGTCATGTCTCCAATACGGAATCAAAGTTAATCCCTTGACTGATTTAACTAAGAAAGGGATGTTCAAATGGGATGAAAAAGCTCAACGTGCATTTGAGCCACTAAAAACAGCCATGTATACTGTACCTATCCCACAATTGCCTAATTTCGGTAAAACTTTTATAGTAGAGATTGATGCATGCTATGAAATATTGGGAGCTATGTTGATACAAGAAGGACATCCTATAGCTTATATAAGCAAAGCCTTGGCCCCCATGTATTTAGGGCTCGAGAAAGACTTCTTAGCTATATTGTTAGCTATTGAGAAATGGAGAGCATACCTGCTACATGCTCCTTTTATAATAAGAACGGATCAGATCAGTCTCAAATACTTGGTTGATCAAAGAGTCTCCACTCCTATTTAATACAAGTATTTAACCAAACTATTGGGGCATGATCATAGTTACATAAATCGCTGGGAAGGTCACGATCTGCGAACCGAACGCTCCGTACCGAATCGCGGTACGAAAGCGATCCGGTCGCCACCTGGAACGCTAAACAGAACGTACTTCAACTCAATCCCAATCGCTTTTAGAAACGATCTTATTCGTTGTTCGCATCGATTTCAAATGCTTTCAAACTCGATCGAAAATGAATCTCAGGTCATTCCTCAACTGTTTCCCCAGCAAACCCGTTTGTGAAGGTCGTTTCCCAAATTGAATCGTCGTTTGAAGACGAACGCGCAGATTTGAAATACGGTATTATTTGTACAGGTCGGCTGCTCTGCGCTTCGTTTTGTGGAATATTAATTAATGTTTTCAAACCAGGCTCTTCGTTTCTACTAACAGGCGCTACTAATTTGTTCTAATAGGTTTACGGAATATCAAACCAGGCTCTTCGTTTCTACTAACTGGCGCTACTAATTTGTTCTAATAGGCATACAGAATATCAAACCAGGCTCTTGGTTTCTAGAATATTAATTTGGAATATTATTGTTTTTTAATTTTGTTTAATGTTATGACTTATGCTTATTAAATCTGTTTTTGTCTAATCTATGATTTATAAAATCTGTAATTCAGTTTTATTAAAGTACCAAAATATAAGGTACACTGTACCGAACATGTGGTACACCGTACCGAACGCGTACCGGAATGAGCCTACCCCCCTCCGAACCGAATACGCTAGACCTAGCGAACCGCGTTCCCGATCCTCGTTCCCGTACCGAATCGTTCCACGAACTATGTGACTGGGCATGATTACAAGATAGAATACAGTAAAGGGCATGTAAATAAAGTAACAGATGCTTTATCCAGAAGACATCAATAGGATCCTAAAATGATAGGAGAATCTTGCTCTTTATCATTATTTCGACCTATGATTCCATACTAGTGGTGGCAAACAAGTACACTAAGTATGCTTATTTTGTACCATTGAGTCATCCATTTATAACTCCAGTCATAGCTCTAACATTCCTAAGTCATGCTTGCAAGTTTCATGGCTTACCTGAATCTACTATATCGGATAGACATAAAATATTTACCAGCCTATTCTCGAAAAAGTTGTTTAAATCTTTGGGTGTTCAACACCATCTAAGCATTGCATATCATCCCCAAACTGATGGGAAAGCAGAAAGGGTAAATCAATGCGTACAAAGCTATTTTGAGATGTATGAGTGGACATATTCTTAAACAATGGGGTAAATATGGCTGCCTTTAACAGCTCAATGGTGGTATAATAGTTGCTATCACAGTGAAACTGGAATGAGTCCCTTTGAAGTTTTGTTTGACTATAAACCACCTTTATTAAATATGGGACCTTAAGCAGAAATATGAGTAGTAGGGGTGGAGAATGAACGGGAAAGAAGGGAATTAGTTTCTGAAAAGCTTAGATATCAACTCAACCCGTCCAAGCAAAAACTGAAATAGATGGTTGACAAGGGAAGAAGTGAACCATGGTACTGGGTTTATCTTAACCTCAAACCCTATAGGCAAATGAACATGCAGAAGTCAGCAATGTGGAAATTAAATCTCAAATATTGTGGGCCTTTTCCAATCACATAAAAAGTTGGAGCAGTTGCTTATAAACCGGACTTACCAACATGGAGTAAAATACATCCAGTATTTCATGTTTCTTTACTAAAGAAACACGTGGGATCGAAGGAGAGGCTTTCAAGCTCTATACCTGGCATGATTGAGGATGAGAATGCAATGCTAGTACTTGTTGGAATTTTAGCTAGAGGGATATATTTTAGAAAAAATAATGCAGATATGGCTGAAGTCCTTATCAAATGGCAGCATTTGCAACAATGTGGTTATCAGATATGGGAGGATTATAATGTGGTTATAAAACAATTTCCTCATCTAGAAGCATGCAGACAAGCTTCAAAAGAAGGAGAGAACAATTTTAAGACCAGAGTTTCCTTATCTAAAACCATAGCGATGGGAAAAGGCCTAGCTACGCAAATATTAAAGAATTGGAAGCTGCCAGCTGGAAGTTGGGCAGCAGGCTGAGCAACAGGCTTATGGTAGTTGGGCAGAGGGCAACTGGTAGACGTTAGTTAGCTAGTCTATTAGCTAACTAATTGGGAAGCCTTGGGCTCCTAGAAATAGTTTATAGATAACTTATTGTTATGTCTCTTCTCCTCTTGAAATGTTACGTTCAGTTTCTCTCAATTATCTAATTTCTCTCCTCCCAGATTTCTTTCATTTCTTCATCAAAACTTGGTGTTATGCATGCTTAAGTTTTTCACCTCGCTAATCACAACAAATGCTTAGGAGTTGGGAATTTTAGGCTTTCCGGCTTGGTGTACGTACATAAGTTCAAAGTTGAAAGCTCTGACTTGTTTGAGTTGTTTCTTTATTATTCTCCAATTTTTTTTTTTGTTATTAGGCTCTCCAATTTTTTTTTTTGAAAATAAAAGAGCGGTTTTTATATTAACATCAAGAAAGCATACATGACAACCTTCAGACAGTTACAATATATCCAATTATAAGTCCTAGTTACATATAGAATCAGTCATCTCATATAATTAAAGCAACCCGACTCGCTAGACATGGAACACACAATTTTATGCTTAAAACGAACAGAATCGAAACAATGTCTATCAAAAGTACTTCAAAAATCCAAATATCCAATTCAAACCTACTTGAACTAAAATAAAAACAAATACTACTAAGAAAAAAATAATGTTGGAATAAAGTCTTTCCACAGAACTCTTCATGGCACGAACGTGGTTTCAGAGGAGGACGAGCTTCAGCAATATGAGTGAACCTAAATTCTTCTTCTACTTCGTTGTGAAAGGACATAGAAATAGGCGGAGACAAAAACACTCTTTATGTCTCTTTCATTCTCTCCGCATCTCAAAAGAAGATAGATAAAGCCCCCAACCAGACGATGCTGCCCGAGACACCAATGGAACTCCCCACATCGTGGGAGACAAAACGCAACATAGCACCAAGGCTCAAGAAAGAACCGTCATAGAATAATACAAACACAACAACAAAAGAAGAGTAGTCAAGTTGGCGCATACTCCTACCCAAAATCTCTGAGAATGATGTCACCTTTAGCTTAGCCGGAGAGAGGACGACGACAAGACAACCCTCCTCTTCCCAATTGCCCGTTCTTCCTGGTTGACTACCAGCATATAGCCCAACTTAACATTATTCTATCAATTTTTTAAAATTGTTATAAATTTTTTAGATTAGAAATTCACCAAGTCCAATTTTGCCCACCCCCTCCATTTCCTTCCCTTCTGTCATGTGACATTATTCTATCAATTTTTTAAAATTGTTATAAATTTTTTACTTAATATCCAATTTTATAAAAATATATTTAGATTTAATATTTTTTACGATATTTCCAATGATATCAGTATTGTATATAAAAAACTGAAAAAAACTATCTTTCTAAATATCTATTTTCAGCTGTGTTTTTTTTTTAATTTTTTTCATATGCAACATTGATACCATATAAAAGATTAAAAAAAAAATTATATACGGTATTTTTTAAAAATGGATTAAAAATGAAATGTCAAAACAACTGCAGAAGAATAAAGGATTTATTTGCCCCATAATAGGCCACTAGGATTTTAATCGATCCCCACCATAGTGGATCCATGTAATTAATTAAGTGGTGTCTTACTTTAGGAAACAATTCAAGTCGCAGAACGGACAAATCAAATTTTGGAAATAAATCTTGGCCGAGTTTGTAAGAATTCAGGAGACTGCAACCGACTCATACAAGTCACACCGACCGTAATCTATATATATATACCTCACCACAAATGCATGTGTAGGTGTTCTTCCCATTCATTTGTTTTCTCTGCTAATTTACCATCAAGTATCTCTTCTACAACAGATAAAACAATATGGGATCATCGGAAATAGGAAACGAGGCAGAGCTGGGGACCATGTCTCCGGCGCCGCCGTCTCTTTGTCGGAACGGCTGCGGTTTCTTTGGAACGGCGGCAACCGATGGGCTGTGCTCCAAGTGCTACAAGGACATGTGCAAGAAGAAGGTGGAAGAGCAAGCTCTGATAACGCCCATGACCAATCTCAGGATCAGAACCGGCCGTCCGGTTCGGGATGGGTCGACCGGCAGGGAGGCGTCGCCGCCGCCGGCCCCGCGCGCGTCCGGCCGGTGTTGGAGCTGCAACAGGAAGGTGGGGCTGCTGGGGTTCAACTGCAGGTGTGGCTACACCTACTGTGGGTCCCACAGGTACCCTGAGATGCATGACTGTGCCTTTGACTTCAAGGGTCAAGCCCGGGATGACTTGGCCAAAGCCAATCCTGTAATCAAGCCCCATAAAATCCAGAGATTCTAAAGTTTTAATTTCTCCATTTATTCGTTGTTTCAACAAGTGTGTGTGTGATATTACTCCCTAGCTATCAGGGAGATTAAACAGTACGTGATAAATCTTATGGGTTTAATTTGGTGTTGCATTTATCAATTACTACGTATTACTTTGCGATTTAATTATATGATCGTTTTCTTTAGTGTAATTATTATTGTTGACATTAAATTGTTGCTTGCGATAATTTGGAAGCTTCAATTAGTATTGCATACTTGAGTTACCCCAGAGAGAGATGCTCCCCATGTAGGGTTTGATACCGCCACCCATTGCTACGGTGCAAGTCCATTTTGGAACTGGCTTTTTTGTTTTGCTTCGTTGAGTTTAGGGTGGTTTAGGCATACAAGATTTCTGTATTCCCTTCTCCCATCATCAATTATGCGGCTATTCTTCTTTTGTTTTGGTGAGATTAAGCGGTGGGAAGATGCTTTGTCTCCGACTAGGGCTGTTAACGAGCCGAAGCGAGCCCGAACACCCAAAGCTCGAGTTCGGCTCGATAAGGAATTAATGGTGTTCGGGTTCGAGCTCGAAGCTCGGCGAGCTTTACAAGTGAGTCTCGTGTTCGGCTCGATAGGCGTTCGATGTTCGAACCGAACGCTCGATAGACTCGATAAATATGCTCGAATTTAAAATTGTAGGTGATGTTCATTAATAGACTCGTGCTCGAATGATTCGACAAGTATTCGGTTCGTTAATAATCATATTTAAATTCATAAAATCATACTAATTATATTTAAATTTTGACATATACGAGTATATAAATGATATTTACAATTTCAGGGTGTTCGATAGGCTCGAGTTCGAACCGAGCCGAATACTACTATGTTCGAGCTCGGCTCGATTAATTTTTCAAACTTAAAACTATGATCGGGTTCGCGTTTGATAGCTCGTTAAGCTCGGCTCCTTAGATTCGAAACCGAGCTCGAACTCGAATAGTTCGATAAAAGCTCGGATCGTTAACAACGACCCTATCTCCGACGACCAAAGGTTGTGCAGGGACGAAAGACTGATGCTTGGTTTCCGACGGTCAAAGGTCGGGGACGAAGCATGGGGCATGAGGCTGGAACAGACCTGGATTTGAGGTCATACGTGATTGGTTGACAGAGGAGGCTTGATAGAGAACATGATGAACAAGAGGCAAGGCGAGGAAGCAGCTACAATGCTGTTGGATCGTCCCCCTCCTGAACCACCGCCATGGAGTGCAGGAAAATATAGGGTTTGGAAGCAACATTTTAATTTTACTGTTGGCTTGCTTTCAATTTTTATTTTTTATGTTGGTTACTTTTATTGTTGTAAGACTCTTGCATTAGGATTGGGTGATAGAAGACATGCTTTAACCGTCGTTGGCTCATTTGCCCATTATAAGATTAGTGAGTCATATTGCTTTTTTAAGGTGATTGACTCTAAGTCTGGTTCGAGAGCTTGTGGTTGCCTGTGGTCCGTTTGTCGTTTTATCCTCTATCTGAATGTTCTAAATGTTGTGATATCAATTTATGTCATCCGTTTTGACGATTAAAAAAAATGTAATGTTGCTTGTGATGTAAAGATAAAAAAGTTTTAAGGAAACACTACTTCGTAGTTTGTAACACGATAACTAGTTATTCGTCTATTCTAAATGAAGCACGGAGTTAACTATATACTTCGTATAACACTTGTGATTATAAGTAATGTGTATGTATTGATGCAAAAGCTAGAGTCAAAAAAATTAAGTCATGTAATTGTAGTTTTTTTTTTTTTTTTTTTTTTTTGAGTAGAACACACATATATTAAAAACAGAGTACCAACACGACAACAACATTCAAGTCCAAACGCCCAAACAAGTCATGTAATTGTAGTTATTAAAAGTTATTAAGTCATATTTTGTTTATTAATATCCCTATTTGAAAATTTATCTGATAAATATTTATAAAAATTTAGTCCAACTAACGTAACATTCTGTAAAAGTTATTGAGCAGTGTGGCTCTGATCTCGCTACAACACAAATAATCTAAACCAGAAAAACCAAAATTAAAAATATTTTTAATTAGACTAGTTTCAATCTAAGATCAAATCATACTAAGCTAAAAGAGATCAGATCAGGTCATCAGACCATATAAGATCATATCAGCCGAGATTAAATTTGGACAATTGTAAAATACACACATGAAATATTAGTTCAGATCAGGACAAACTAAACTTAATTAAAAAGATCAGATCAGACCAAACAAGGTTAGAACAAAAAATTAATGTCAAGTTGGTCGAGAACATCCTAAATGGAAAATATGAGAAATGTAAATCCCATGAACTTTGGTTTTACCGGCCTCTAGACGAGACACCCAAGAACGCATCTAGTTGTCAACTACCTAAGGCTGTTCATCGAACAGGTTGGGACGGGTTGGCTATACTTTTTGGGCTTACACAAAAATGGATAACCTGTGTATATGAATGAATTGGATATAATAAAAAATAAATTACTTTGTGTTGGGTCTTTAATATGACCAATTAATTGTGTCCAGTTTAGGCTCATCCAGATTATTACTTAAGTTCATGAATGCATATCAAATACACAAACCTAAACTTCATATACGTCTAATTTATGTGTAACAACATCAAAAAGCACCGGTGGGCGTAGCTCAACTGGTAGCGAGGGAGTGCCACAAGAGTTAGGTCTCGGGTTCGAATCCCGGCAACTGCGATGAGGGATTACTATGCTAAAAAATGCATAGGGCTTTTGCAAGTATCGGGGACAGAGCCTCACTCTCTATCTGTCAGATTGTGATTATAGTCCAATTTACATCCTCCCATCGTGCTGTCCGGTCGGTGTTGGGGGGCCCTCAGGGATGGGGTGTCATCCTTTTTTTTAATTAAAAAAAGTCACTTTAGAAGAGTGTAATAACTCGACTAGAACGACATTTACCACACCGTCTCACGGTGTTTTTTGGGTTTAAAAAATTAAACTACAAAAAATGACGATATTTGTAATCTAACTTTGTAAGTAGAGTATAGCATTATTAAACGATAAATTGTCTTAACAAAATATTGTCGCAAAGTAATAGGAAAATAAAGAAAGAAAATATATTCAACTTCCAAAGGCGAAGAACTGAAAGTGAAAGGGAATGCCATCGAAGAGTGGCAATTGTACCTCAATGACAGTCGGGTCGGATAACATTGGTTTTGACTTTTGAGATTCATACATTCACAAAGCTACCTTTAATTTTATATGCGGATTGTTAGAAATTTAATGCCTAATTACAGGTGGCGTAGGGGCGGGAAATGAGCATACTCGCTGAAGTGGTCAACCACCACTAGTATAGTTGTCTTTTCATAGAATGGTGGAAGACCATCGATGAAATCCATTGAAAGATCATCTCAAACTTGATTTGGTATAGGTAGAGGCTGGAGGAGTCCAAGTGGGGCTAATGAAGAGGACTTGGTGCGCTGACAAACATCACATGCAGCAACAAAGTGTTCCACCAAACGATACATGTGTGGCGAATAGAAAACATGTGAGAGTCGTTTAAAGGCACAGAGAACTCCGGAATGACCACCCACAAAGATGCTATGAAATTCAAACAAGAGTGTTGGTATTAATGTTGGTATTAATGGTGACTCGTTTGCTAAAACTACATGAACCTTGTACCGGACAAGTCCTTGACTAATAGTGAAGTCAGTTGATGCATTGTTTCTGATCTTGGCATGGAGGGCCTGAAAATACGGCATTTGGATTTGCTCATCGATTTGCCCCCAAATATTAGCCTTAATGGTGGATAAAATGTTTAGAACTGGAGTACCCTCTGGTGGATAGCAGGAGAGTGCATCAGCCACTCGATTTGAGGTACCGAGACAATAGCAAATCTTGTAATCATAACCCAAGAGCTTGGTGACCCATTTTTGTTAGTCCGGTGTACCAATACGTTGTTCGAGAAAATGTCGTAAACTCTGTTGGTCTATGAGGATGTAGAATTTGCGGCCGATCAAATCTTAACGTCAAGCCAAATCTTGTCACATAAGCCTCCCAAGAAACAACCAATGAGAAAAGTGTTAGGCAAATAATCTATTTGGTGTGATAATTGTTCAAAAGTTTCCTGGTAAGCGACATTAAATGCAGTTTGTTTGAGTCGAGAAAGGGCTTCAATGGGATTTGTGAACTTAGTTGGTCCAAAACGAAGGCGTAGAGCACTGACAAACTTTTCCCATGCTACTGACCCCCTCTATTTTAGTAATCAACGAAACCATTGTAAAGCTAGAGCTTCTAAATTAATAGAAACGAGTTTTACGTGCTGATCTGGAGTAACATCATAGTACTCAAAGTACTGTTTTACTTGATATAGCCACTCGGTTGGATCTCCGCCATTGGATTGTGGAAACTATGTTTTTGGAACACGAGTTTTGTGGTTAATTCTGGTGTTCTCATCGGCAAAAAGGTTCTCCATCTGTAGATATAGAGCAGCCTACTCCCTTGCAACCCCGCCTACAAGTAACTTGAAGACTCACGACTATCTCATCAAATTGGTTGTTGTGACGTGCGATAGCTTCATTCATATCCTACCAGAATTCCGCATTAGATTTGCCCCGGGTATCCATGCTCTGATACCAAATGGTGGATCCTCAAATATGAACTCACGAGAAAGAAGAGATCAGAAATGATAATAAGAATGAGAAGAGAAGTTTGACCGAAGTTTTATGTCCCCGTTTTCCATTCTAAATGATGCATACAAAGTAAATACAAATGAGGGAAATTAACTGCTAATTTGGTGGCACCACTAAGCCACTAAAACAAATAACTACCATTGTTGTTAACCGCTAGCTACATGTGTAGGAAATAATAGTACAAAATAACAATATCAATATTCATAAATATAGCAGTAGTCCTAACCCAAATGAGATTCCATCCACGTAGTTAACACATGCACAAACTTGATCATTGAAATATTTGGGTTGCGTCTTCCCTAGCGAACACTTTTTCTAATCTCGATGGGTGAACTTGTATGTTCATCACACATGACTTAAATTTAGTAACAAGTACCGTACATTCAATTTTATCGAAGGTAACGAAGATATCACCCTGATTTATTAATAAATGCTCAAATTAAATAATTA